ACGACGCGCTGGCCGCCACCGCCAGCCAGGACCGCACCATCAAGCTGTGGACCCTGCCGACGCTTGTCGCGGGCTTGACGCTGCGCGGCCACAAGCGCGGCGTGTGGGCCGTGGCGTTCAGCCCAGTAGACCAGGTGCGGGGGGCCGCGGGCACAGGGGGGTGCAGCTGGGGTTCCCTGTGGTGGTGATTTCCCTGTGGTTCCCTTCCCTGTGGTCCCTTGGTTTCGCAAGACGGGATGCATGGTGGTTGTGTTTGAGGGCGAGGCGCTAATGAGAGCGAGGCCCGCTTTGTGGAAATTCGGCGCCCAAGGGGCATGGGCCGGTGCTCTGCGGATGGCTGAACGGTCCATCGCATGGCACCTTGCGCCCAGCGTCGACCTGGCACCTCCCTTTCATTCCCTGCCCCGCCTGCTCTCTCCCAAACAACCTGGCAGGTGCTGCTGAGCGCCAGCGGCGACAAGACCCTCAAGCTCTGGAGCCTCAAGGACGGCGCGTGCCTGCGCACCTTTGAGGGCCACGGCGCCGGCGTGCTGCGCTGCCGCTTCGCGACGGCCGGCCTGCAGGCGCTCTCGACCGGTGCGCGGGCCCCGAGGTTGCCCACGCGCGCACGCTCCGCACTCACACTGGCGGCGAGGACTGCTTGCTGCTGCACAGACACTTTGCCCAGCTGCCGGGCACTCCGCGTTTGGTGTCTGCACACTGACACCGCACTCGCGGACACAACATTCTGCCAGCACAGTCCAGCCCAGAGCGCACGCGGCGGCGCACCCATCCCCATGGGCCCATAAAATTTGCGGCTGGCCAGCACTCTGGCCCCGGCCAGCAGCCCAGCCACCAGCGCTCTCTCACCCCCCTCTCTCAAACGTCAACGCTCTTCCTGTCACCAAGGTGCCGACGGCCTGCTGAAACTGTGGTCGCTGCGCACTGGAGAGTGCGCCAATACGTTTGACGGCCACGACGACAGGGCCTGGGCGCTGGCGGCGGGTGGCAAGCACGAGGCGCTGCTCGCCACTGGCGGCGCGGATGCGCGCGTGGTGATCTGGTGAGTCCTTTGACCACGGTCAACGGGATGCCAGCGACAGATCCCTCCGCATTATAAAGCTGGCTGCTGAGCAGGGCGCCTCGCTGCTGGGCAGGAGTGTGCGTTAAGCAACCTGTCTGACGACCGCAGCGTACAACCCCCTGTGCTGACTTGCCACGCCATGCCTGCTGCGCCCGACCCGCTTCTCCACTCCCCGCCCTCCAGGGAGGACAGCACCGCGGCGGACGCGGCGGCGGCCGCCGGCGAGCAGGAGCAGCTGGCGCAGCGCGAGCAAGACCTGGAGAACGCACTCATGGTGGGGCTCGGCTGGGCTCCCCTCCCCCCGCCCGTCGTGCCGCTCTGCATTGCGTCATCTCATACATCGCAGCAGCACCGACGCTCCCCGCGGCCGCCGACTGAAGCCTGGCCTTCCAGCGGAGGCCTGTCGCGGCTGCAGCTTCAAGGCATGCGCGCTTTGCCGCCCCCAGCTCAGAACCCCTTGAAACCCGACAGCCCCCTGCAGCGGCCTGAAACCCACCAACGCCCGCCCCGTCATCCCTCGGCCCCTCAGGACAAGGATTACGCCGAGGCGGCCCGCCTGGCGTTCGAGCTGCGCCACCCCGGCCGCCTGCTGGGCGTGCTGCGCGCGCTGGGCGCGGCCGGCGCGGGGCCGGCGGCGCAGCAGATCGTGCGGCACATGCGGCCAGAGGACCTGAAGACGGCCCTCGAATACTGCAGGCGAGCGCCTTGCATGGGCCTTACTTGCAGCCGCACGCCGCAGGCACAGGGACTTGGCGCCATGCTCGCGGCAACACGCAAAAGCGACGGCCGCAGCAGGCAGCATGGCAAAAGCGCGGTTCCAAGCGCCCAAGCCGCACCTCAGAGGAGCAGCCCCAGCCTGCCCGACAGCGGGCCCGCTGAATTCGATACGCAAAGCCCTGTCAAACCCACACTCGTCCTAAACCGCTGCGCGGGCCTCCTCCGCGCCCCGCAGGGAGTGGAACACCAACGCGCGCAACTGCCACGTGGCCCAGGCCATGCTGCGCGCGCTGCTGTCGTCGCGCGCCCCGCAGGAGCTGCTCGCGGTGCCGGGTGAGGCCCGGCGGCCGCCGAGCGCGGGGCTACAGCGCTCATTGACGCTTGGCACTAATGCTTTCGCGCCAAGCCTCGGCGCCAGGCGCTTGCCCCCCCAACGACAGATGGATGGGACGTTCATGGTTGCCGCGTCTGCCGGCCTTTTCCTGTTGGTGGGGTTGACACGCGGTCCGACCCTCACGGCTGCAAGGCAGCACAGTCCCTACTCAGCAAGTAGACCCGTGAAGTGTCTCACAAATTCGCTCCATCCTCTCAAAACCCTTGATGCCGTTGGGCACCCCAGGGGCTCGCGAGCTATTTGACGGCCTCCTGGCCTACAGCGAGCGCCACGCGGCGCGCATGGACCGCCTGCTGCGCGCCTCGTACCTGCTCGATTACACCCTGGCAGCCTCTGGCGTGCTGCTGCCCGGGGAGGGCGACGCGGACGGTGGTGGAGGCAAGGCGGGCGGCGACGAGGCGGGCCGCGGCGGCGACGGCGGTGGGAGCGACGACGAGGACGGAGGGGGGGAGCTGGCGGCGTTCGGCGGGGCGGCGGCGCGGCAGGTGGGGACGCAGGGCTTGCTGCTCGTGCTGCATGGCGGGTACGGTGTCGTTTATGGTGTTCAATCACTTGGACGACATCGGATTGGCTTTGACACCAATTGCATGTGAAGTGTGACCCCAATTTTCAGGAGCGCCATTGATCTTCTCTGCTCTGCCCCTCTTGTCCCCTGAATCAGCCCAATGGAGACCCGTCGCGTGGCGCAGCCGGCCGCAGCGGCGACGACTTGTCGGACGACTTTGCTGGTTGGGCCAACGGCAACGGCAACGGCGCCAGCGGCAGCGGCAGCGAAGAGGGCGACAGCAGCGGCGAAGACGATGATGCCGGCGGCTCGCAGGGCGCGGGCGCTGAGAGCAGCAGCGAAGAAGAGGAAGAGGAGGAGGGACAGGGGGCCTCTGACGATGGTGGTGAGCTGGCTGAGGCTGGCCACAGCAGCGGCGGCGGCAGCAGCAGCAGCGGCGACCAGGAAGAGGAGGGTGAAGAGGACGGGGAGGAAGGCGAGGAGACGGCGGCTGCGGCGGGGTCCAGCGACGGGGACGAGCCGGAGGGTGGACTTGAGGAGAGCAGTGGAGACGGAGGTGAGGAGGATGATGAGCAAGGGGCCGAGGACGGCGAAGGAGAATATGAGGAAACGGCGGAGAAGCAGCAGGAGCAGCGGCCGTCGCGAAAGGGGCGTCACTCGCCGGCGCTGCAGCAGCGTGGCCGGCGGAAGCAGCAGCTCGAGGCGCCCTCGCGGGCGGCCGCCGGGAAGCGGCGGGGGGCCGCGGCGTCGGCCGCCGCGGCCCCGGCGAAGCGGGCGCGGGCGGCGCCCGCCGCGGCGGAGGCGGCGCTAGCAGCGGCGCGGGGCCGGCGTGGCGCAGGTGCAGCGGCAGGGAAGGCGGCTGCGGCGGCGAGTAGCCCTGCAAAAGCTGCGCGGCGGAAGCAGCAGCAGCAGCAGGAGGAGGAGGCCCGGCAGCAGAAGCGGCCGTCGCCGGGCGGCAGTCTGAAGGGCCGTCTCAGGTCCCGGCGTGCATGACTTGGCGCTTTCTGGCAGAGCAGTGGCTTTTGTTATCTGACCCTGTTTTCCCAGGAGGCTGTGCATGGTGAGCAGTGCCTCCAGCAACTCTGTAATTGCACGCGGATTGCCTCCATGATAAACCACCAGGGCACCCCCATCTCGCGTAAGGGTGCCTTATTCACGAGGAGGGGTCCATGTAGTCATTGATGCAGCCCTGCAGTATTGAATGGTAGCTTTGTGCATGCTTGACTGCTCCTCCAGCTGCACACTTGTGACGACTTCCCATGCCCGTTCCCGTCATCGGTTGACCACGGTGTGACGTTGGGCAGCTACTAGCAGCGGGGCTGGAACCTCACATGGCACTCGAGGGCCTATAGCGCCTGTCGGCATGTTTTTCATGGGTACAAATCAAGCTTACACGCCGTCCAACTCGTACTATTACAGCTAGCCACGTGTCCGCCCTCACTTTTTCGTGATCTTGCGCCCTGTGTAAGGCCTCTGCTCGTGCTAAGGAGGGCTCATTGGCAACCACAGTCATGGCACCCGTCAAGATAGTCATTTTGGGCGCCTCCTATGGTTCCTTGCTCGCGACAAAACTTCTCATGGCCGGGCATGGTGTCACGTTGGTCTGCACGGCCCCCACAGCGGAGCTTATAAACAGTGAGGGTACCGTCGTGCGGTTCCCTGTCCGTGGCCGCGCCGACCTGGTGGATATCCCGTCGCGCGGCCTGCCGGGGACGCTGCATGCATCGACGCCGGAGGGGGTGAATCCTGCAGACTTCGACCTCGCCGTCCTGGGAATGCAAGAGTCGCAGTACGGCGAGGACGGCGTCAAGCAGCTGATGGCCAGGATCGGCGCGTCGGGCGTCCCCTGCCTAGCAATCATGAACATGCCGCCGCTCGCGTACCTGCGTCGCATCCCGGGCCTCGACGCCGACGCACTCAAGGGCTGCTACACCGACTCCTCAGTCTGGGACGCCTTTGACCCGGTCAACGTGACACTGGCTAGCCCCGACCCCCAGGCCTTCCGGCCCCCAGATCAGGGCAAGAACGTGCTGCAGGTCGGGCTGCCGACAAACTTCAAGGCGGCGCGCTTCGCCGGCGACGCGCCGACGGCGCTGCTGCGGCGGCTCGAGGCCGAGATCGAGGCGGCGCGGTTTGAGGTCGGCGGCGAGCCCCTCGAGATTCCCACGAAGCTCAAGGTGTTTGACTCGCTGTTTGTGCCGCTGGCCAAGTGGCCGATGCTGCTGACGGGCAACTACCGGTGCGTCACGGCCGACGGCATGGTCCCCATAGTGGAGGCCGTGCACGGCGACGCGGCGCTGTCGCGCTCCATCTACGAGTGGGTGGTGGACGTCTGCGTGAAGCTTGGCGCCGACCGGGCCGACCTGGTGCCCTTTGAGAAGTATGCGGCGGCCGCCGAGGGCCTGAAGAAGCCGTCGTCCGCCGCGCGGTCCGCGTTTGGCGGCGCGGTCAGCATAGAGCGCGTGGACAAGCTCGTGGCGGCGATCGCGGGGCAGCTGGGGCTGGAGAACGCGCACGTGGCGGAGGTGGTGCGGCTGGTGGACGCGCGGCTGGCCGGCAACCGGGCGGCAGCGGCGGCGGCGGCGGCGGTCAAGGAGGCGCCGGTCGCAGCGTCGTGAGCAGGCATAAGCGTGCATGTGCGTGTAGGCGCACAACCCGTGCGGGTGTTGATGCCAGGCCGCCATATTCGGCCGCACGCTTGGGCGGCTTGAGCAGAGCTGCGCCGGCTTTCTCACCTCAATACGAGGCATTCATCTGCGGCCTGCCCCGCACATTTTCATCCTTAACAGCGGTCGGCTGACGCCCCCCGTACGCATTCTCACACGTCTTTTGACACAACGCAATGTGACCTTTGAATTGCAAAAGAGGTATTTATGCCTGCTGATGTTGCGGTTGCCGCCTGGCATACGTGCCTCTGGGCTGTAGTCGCAGTCAGTTTGTAGCATGGCCGCAGCATCCTGAGGCATTCTGCCGCATGTTTTCTGTTTCTGTATGGCAATTTTCCTTGGCATGTGAGATGGACATGTTTGTGTTACTGTACTTGTGCGCCGCTGCGTGAGTGCCTGATGCCCCAGCGGCTGAAGGCGGTGCAGCGCTATTGTACTGAACCTACAACTTACCCCAGCCGTGGCTGCGTCGGGACCAGCTGACACAGTTTCAGAGATGAGTCGATTGGGAGCATTCTACCAGCCGTGCGCGATACAACCGCGTGCTCAAATGCCATCCAACAGCAGTACCAGTGTCACTGCACCTGTTTGTGTCACTGCGGTGACCGTGAATTGCCGATGAATTGCCAACATCCGCACAAGCACAGGGCGCTTACAAAGTGATGTAAGAATTGTATGACGATTTCAAGGTGGCAGTCCTATTCAGCAGGTTTACCGAGCAGCCAGAGCAGAGGTACTGTTCCGAATCGTTCAGGAGGGCGTGTGCTGCACAGAGCGCGTGGGAAGTAGCTTACAAGCCATGAAGCTAGCTCATATCACATCGCTGATACTCCTAGGTAGGTATCCCGTCCACCGCGGGTGGCAGTGCTCGCAGTGGCCATTCCAGCGAGACCGAAATGGGGCCGTAAGCAGGGACACACATGCACATGTACATGACACATAAAAATAAGTTCATTTCCACCCCGATACCCGTGCAGCAGCAGTCACTTCGGCGGTCGTGCTTGCGGAGCCTGGTGCCGCTCAGAAGTGCGATGCTGCAGGCATCGCGACCGCCGCGCTGGCGCCAGAGGGCGGCCTGCCCACTGACTGGATCGGCAAGCTGTCACCGTACATGCTCTACTTTCAGGTGCGGGCCAAGGCGCGAGGGTTTCTCAGCCCCAGTGCGGAGGCCTGCTGCTCCTGCTCAAGTCGGCGAGGCGCCCAGGATTGCAGCCGGGGTCACACAGCAAGCTACGCCGTTGCCCATCACGCAAACACCACCCATGACCGCAGGCCATTGCCGATTTTAGCTATCAGAAGGACATTGGCACCCGCATATCACGCAAGTCCCCGGGTCCCTGCCTTGAGGTGGGGCCCAGAGGCGCGCCAAACCGCAGTCGGACGGCGGCCATCCATCGCGCGCCTGGGCAAGCCGCCCGCGTGCTGTACAACCTGGGCAGAGGTGAAGTGCGCAGCCCTGGACGACTGAAATCAATGCTGCTCCACCTCTCACGCGCACTTCCTCCTGACGTGTCGTGCTGCAGGCCTGGGGCATCAAGGAGTGGCAGCGCTTTGACACCGAGGTGTGGCTTTCGGTACTTACCCAGGATACGCTTGATTCGGGGCCGCGCTTGGCTTGATGCAGTGTGGGCGACCTCTGGAGAAACCTCAATTGCCTCGGCACGCCGAAACGTGTTCATCGCGCGCACTGCCACTAGTCGCCTGCTTGCACACGCCCGGCAGAACCCCCTGGGAGCTGGCCTCAGCTTCCTGCTGATGAGGACGGACAATGACATCATCTTGTCGATCAGGTCGGGACCCCGCACCTGATTGCATGAGACAGGAGGTCAAAATAAAAACTATAATGAAGTTTGAGCGCAAGGCGCCATTGGGGGCTAGGAGGCGCTCCTGTGATTACACAGTCGACGCCTTGTCGCTGGTGCTGTGTGGAGCGGCTGCACTAGGACCCTCGCCCCACCATGTCAACCAGCCACACGCCTTCTCCCCCTTCGCGACCTCAACCTTCAGGGGCATGGTCTCGCGGCGTGACGTCATCGGCCAGGACGCCCTCACAAATGCCACCTATGACCCCGAGGCGTTTGGCCCTGAGGCCGTCAAGTTTGCTGCGGGGAAGGAGCGCACACTGCCCAATGGCAAGCCCAACCCCGATGTGAGGCCCGCGGGAAGGGGCCAAAGCCATTGGATTTAAGGAGAGAGGCGATGGTGTTGGTCTCTTTGGGATGGCGGGTGGGCCAATGTTGTTGCACAAACGTCGGCGACTGGCTTGGGCGCTGCCGTTCTGGCTTCTAACCTTTTGCTGGCGCACCATTGCAACCGCCCCTGGCTCAGGCCTTTTGGACGCTGGAGGGCTACACGATCAGCTTCAACAGCGTGCGGGCCAAGGCAGGCAAGGTGCTGGAGGCGTGGAGGGCCAAGGTGCGATGGGACTGGCGCGGGCGTGCGCTGGGGGAATGCTTGTGGCGTCAAGCTGCAGAGCCATCAACGGCCTGGCAGGCTAGACTAGAGTTCAACTTGAATCACCAGCAGCAGACCAGTTTGTGCTGTGTGGGTATAACTCAGCGCTGGTTGCTCCGCGCTTGAAGGACCTGGAACAGCACTGCATCACGCAACGAAACGGCGAGGATTGCGGGATCCCTGCCCCTCCCTGTGAGAATCGCGCATCTGCAGTTGCGTGCACATCACGCTCGCCCACCCAGCCCTTGATTGTCATTCATCACCTCTTGCCCTCCGCCACGCCGCACCGCCGCCCCGCGTGCAGATGAATCCCAAGGCCAAGCTCTGGTTTGTCGGCCACAGCGACGGGTCCCAGCTGGCCCAGCTGGGCGCCCTCAAGTACGCCCTGACGATCGGCGTCAACGCCATTGGTGGCGTTGTGCTCTTTGGTCCGTCCAGGGTCGGCTCGCGCGGCTTTGCTACCTTCTACAACACGCAGCTGGGTGAGCGCCGGCCCCCGGTGCTGCAGGCCAGTCCCATGGCGGATCACCAGTCAGGCACCGCTGGTGCAGCGCTGGGCCTGCACTGGTTGAGTATGCTGTAGCCACAATCTGATTGCTGGGGCAGGCAATCCACCAGGGCTGCGGACAATCGCAACAAGAGTTAAGGGCACATCTTGAGACTTGTGCGCTTCAATGCCTGTGGCTTCCTGATGGCAACCCGCCCTGCGTTTGACGCAGGCAACAAGACTGTGTACTACAGCTACGGCCGTGACCCCGCCCTTGCGTACTCGTACCCCATCTCCGATGTGCGTGCAGCAGCTGTGGGGCTCGGATAGGGGGGTGGCTCATTGTTGGGTCCTGCATTCATGTTCAATGGGAGCGCCTGGGAGGGAAGGCGCCGGCATGAGCTCAAGTGGCGTTAACTCGTTTCCAAGAAGTTCACAACTTCTCCATTCACCTCCAGACTGTTGGCTCTGCAGCGCCTCAAACACTGCAAATCTGCCCGCCGCCACAATCGCAAGCCCTCACAGTGCCAAAACCCACCGCACTGCCGCAGGGGCTGATGATGCCCGGCATAGGCATCCGCGCCTGCCCTGTTTACGGCCAGGCCGTAGAGCAGCTGGTGCCCATGGCCCTGGGGGAGGACAAGATGGCGGTCTGCAGCGAGCTGCCGCTGGTCAACACGCCCCTGAGCCGCCTGTGGCTGCCAGACTGGGTGAGGCGCGGCCGGCGTCCTTGCTGGGGCTCGGGGGGGCGCCCGGTCTCTGGGGGTGGCACTGGCCCTCGGCCTGCTGGCCTGGGGCCAGGAATGTCTGCGCCCACGCAGGCGCCTGGGGTGAGGGGAGATTCAAGCTTTCTGACATTACTGTTTGTGCACTCCAGGTGTGAGAAGCGTCACAGCCACAGGCGGGCGACCTGGTACAATTCCAAGCCTTTGGCTTGAAAACATGCTCAACGGTGTCAACCGCACGTGCAGGTGTTTGGCACCAGCGACCCGGCGTTCAACCAGCTCATCTCTTGGGAGTACCTGGCGCACCACATTCCTGGTGGGCACAGGGCTCAGCAGGGGCACCGCACCTGGATTGAGGCTGCGGTTGGAAGGCAGGCTCAGCATCCCGCAGGGTGGCGCGCATCAGCGGAAGCCGTCCTTGTGAAGTTGTGCGATTACACCTGCGCCTTTGGGCCCCGCCCCTTCATGCCAGTTGCGATGGAGGCCGCGGCTCGCACGCACAACCCCCCTTCCGCAATCAACCCACATCGACCCTCTCTCGCCATCGCCCCAAATCAACAACCTCCGCCTGTCGCAGCAATTTCATACGACGGCCTTGTGCGCATGCTCAACGCTGGGCTCGGCACCGGCAAGCCCGACGCGTGCACCCTGGCCGCGCTGTCCCTAGACAAGTGCGTCCTGTCCCACGTCTGCTCCCTCGCGCTGCGGCCTGCGGGGGCGGCAGGCTGCAGGGGCTGTGCCACCGACGACACGTGCAAGCAGAGCTGGGGCATGCCGAACGGCCGCTGCGACAGGAGCCTGCCGGAGCTCTCCGGTTGGATGTGCTACAACGGTGCGTGCCGATGGGGCTGCGCGCTGCAGGAGCGGGCTGCCGGGTTGCTCGAGGCAGCCTGAGAAGCTCTCGCTCTCGCTGTCGCCAAGCGCTCATGGGCCCAACAGTTGGTACGCCTGCTCCTGCCTGCGCCTACGCGCTCGTGCACACCAAAGGGGATGACGTGTGCCGGGTCTCTTACTGACAACCGCCACGCCGATTATGTGACCATTTGGCTTCCACAACCACGATAATCACTCCCCTCCTCTCCCCCCGTCGGCCAAATGCACCGTCAGGCAAGCTGCCAGGCACGCTGTTGAACCTTTTTTACGGCAGCAACGGCGCCCCCATCGACCCGGACGCAACGTACGAGCTGGAGATCAACAACCCATTCGACCGCTCCAACCGCCGCGGGAGCATCGCGACCTTCAAAATTCCGATCGGCCACAGGAAGTGACCTGCGGCAAACCATGAGTTGGGGGCACAGCAACGTTGCTGCGCGCGCTGCGCTCGGGCATGCCGTTGGCGTGGGTACTGTCTGCAACCATTCCTTCAAGATTCGCGCCTCTGAGCCCGTTTTTGACCCCCTGGCGCACTGCCGCCCACTCTAAAATCCCCACGACATCAGTGAACTTGCACTTGGCTGAGCCACGCGCTCGTGCCGTGCGATTAGTTGCCCTGCACCTGATGTGCTCCCCTCCCTGCAAAGATTCAAGCCAAATCAACGTGATGCTGCCTACTTTGAAGTGAGAAGCAAATTTACACAATCCGACTTGTGCCTTCATGGCCGGAACACTCGTGCGAGGCACCGCGCTGTGCGCAGCCTGAACACACGTCACCTCTTACCACGATGCTCTGCAGCGCTCAGCCCCTGGAGGGCCTGTTCGACGCCGTGTAAAAGCAGCCGTCACACAGACTGAAAAGCCCCATGACGCTTCACAGCCACGTGCAGCAGCAAGCAACCCTCCTCAGCACTCGGCCAGGGTGGTCTGGGTGCTACTCCCCGATCCGGCCGACACATCGAGTGTCGAGGCAAAGCAACAGGTGCTACCAGTGCCTTGCTAGTGCACCCCCTGCACCATTGGGTTGCCCGACTGGAACCAGCGCTGCACAAAGGCTATGGGCTTCTCCAAGGCCGGCAGGGCGTTGCGCAGGGGAGCGGACAGCTGGCCAATTGCCTGCCACACCGCGCGGTGGTAGGGGCCAGACTCCGGGTTCCAGTAGCGCGAGCGCAGCTGCTGCCACTGTAGGGACGGAGACGGGGGGCGGGGCGGTCAGGGGGTGGCCCAAGTTCGTGTAGCGTGGGCGCCGCGCGAGGCGACGCGGTTCGGGCCTGCGTGATCTGCGTGCAGCACGCACCAGATCGTTGGGAGCGGCTCACGGGGCCCCCTTTGGGCTGCTGTGTTGGGCCCCCTCGCTCCCCAAGCCCCGCAAGCACTTCCTCCGTGCTGCCCTCCAGCCACAGCCACGCCCCGTCCCGGCGACCCCTGCCCCCAGCGCCGCGCGCCATCCGCACCACAAAGTACGTCAGCACAAAGCTCCTGTTGGAGGTTAGCAGCATGGCGACCATGTAGAACCCGAGCGTCACCTCCAGCTGCGCTACGAGGCTCAGCGCGCGCTGGCGGTTGGCGGTCAAGTACCTGTGCAGCCGCGCGCCGTGGGACACCCACAGGGGGTGGCCCGCGTGGCGCGCCGCCGCGTGGGCGGTGGCGGAGTAGAGCGCGAGGACGACGTAGGGCGGCAGCACCGCGGAGACGCTGGGGCCGGTGAGGAAGAGCAGGGCCGTCATTGCGTAAGAGAAGGAGGAGGAGGGCAGCGCCCGCACGGCCCACTGCTGGAGGCCGGCCAGGTTGAGGGGCGGGGAGCCGAACTGGCGGGAGAGCTGCGGGGGTGGTGGGGGTTGTGGGGGAAC